AATCATTTGTCCCAGCTGGAGTGAGTCAATATTTCCTTGATATGGGCATGTACTCAGGGGAGAATATTAAATATTAAATAGTTTCTGCAGATAAGTCTGGTATCTTTGAAGAAAGATGACTATTGCAGTGAGAATTAACTCCAACATTTTCCCCTTCCCTGGTGATCTTGGTTCTGCTAAGAGTGCTATAATGATTGTAGCAGAACCATTTTGTTGGATGAAAGATTGTTTTTATAAGAATGAAATGAAAATTGGGGTTAATGAAAAGAAAAATCAAATATCAAAAGGGGATTAATGGAAGGAAACTGACTTCCCCATGAATTTAATAGCCATTAAAGTTTTGTTTTTGGCAATGGAATTTGGAAGATTCAGAAAGCAGCTATGTTCTGAGAAAATGGCTCAAAATGTTTTGCACTTTTTAAAGATGGTAAAAAAAGACAATACAGGATTAAAAAATGATAAAGATGTATGACAGCATATACAGAAACCTTTAGGGAATCTCTAGAGGACAAACAAACCATAAGCAAAAGGAAAAAGGAGCAAAGGTACCAGAAAATTTATCTTTCTTATTGATTGCCTTAGGAAGAAGCTCTCCACTTTTGCTGCCATTTGTTTAATTTGAGGGTCTTAATTAGTCTTCTTCCAAAGATGTTGCCTTCTGGAAAATTCCTAAGAATTATTAGTTTTAAGTCTACTAATGGAGTGGCTGTACAGCCATCAAGAGAAGATACTTATTATTTAGCTATGAATATAAATCCAAGAATCATCATCTTGGAACTTTATTACCATACTAGTTGTTGAACATTATCTGCTAAACTGATTTTCATAGAGGGCAGTTTTTCTCTGATGTCTCGTCCAGAAGACTAAACATAATGATGATTGAGGATTTTATAGACAATAATGTTTTTGCAGCAAAGCAGAACCCACTACGGATGTACAACAGAATATAAGAATTTAGTCACTAGCTAGGCACAGTGGTGCATGCCTATAATAATACTTGGGAGGCTGAGGCAGGAGGATCGCAAGTTCAAAGCCAGCCTCAGCAACCTAGCAAGGCCCTACACAACTTAGCAACACCTGTCTCAAAAGGCTGGGAATGTGGCTCAGTGGATTTAACCCCTGGGTTAAATCCACAGCTTTAAAAAAACAAAACAAAAAAACCTTAGTCACTGATTGAGTACAACTTATGGACAGTGACATTTGCTAGGCCTGTAATTTATTCCCATAAAGTTTATCTTCTTACAGTTACCGTGCCATTCTTTGGATGAACACGAGTATGTTTCTTTTTTTCCTGAAATGTAGTCACTAAAATATTTTTATTAAAATTTTGCTTATGTATAATTTACCCTAAGAAGGCTGAACTTTGATTAACCAGATTTCTTCCTTTAAGGTTGGATTAAAAACAAAAAAACCCTCTTAAAATTGTTTAGATGCCTAAAATCTAAAGAATGCCAAAAAAACTTGTTTTTTTCCTATTATCTTTTCTTTTTTCCATAAATGAAAGAAATCTGAAAGTTCACACAGTTAAGACATCTTTACAGTTTTATTATATCTGGGAAAGGCAAATTTATAAAGAACTGAGAAAACATGAACATAAGTCAAAATATCCAAAGGTAAGAAACAGAATATATCTGCATTCACTATCTGAGAAAACATAATCACTATCCATTTACCATCTATGTCCAATATACCCATTTTTAAATGGTTCTAAGCCACCTTTTAAATCATTTGCTGAAGAAATAAAGTGAATTAAGAATTTTATTAGCAATTTTAAGTAACAAGAATCAGATATTTCACAGCTTTGATGATGTATGTACCCAACATTGGCATTTCTTTTCTTCTTTTTTCTTTTTAATGTTTTTAGTTGTAGATGGACACAATATCTATTTTTATGTGGTGCTGAGGATCAAACCCAGTGCCTCCCACGTGCAAGGCAGGAGCTCTATGGAGTTATAGCCTCAGCACCTCTCCCCCCCACACACACACACCCTTTTTGTTTTTGGAGACAAGGGCTAAGTTGCTGAGGCAGGCCCTGAACTTTTGATTCTCCATGTCTCAGCCTCCTCAGTCATTGAAATCACACGCATGTGCCACTGCACCTGGCTGACAATGTCTTATTGTAACTACTCATCAACTATCATACACAGCCTAGAACATATCTGTTAGTTATCTTGTTACTGGGACAAAATACCTGAAGTAATCAGCTTTAAAGAAGGAAAAGCATATTTAAGCTAACAGTTTCAGAGGTTTCAGCCCATCATGGTGCAGTACATTTTAGTGGAACAAGTGGCAGAGGAAGTATGTTCACCTCTTGGTGGCTGGAAAGAAAAGAGAGGAATGGGCCAGAGTCCAAACACCACCTCAGGAGAATGGTCTCAATGACTCAACTTCCTTTCACTAGGCCCTATCTCTCCACTTTCTTTCTTCCAACAGTGCTGCAAGCTGGTGACCAAGCCTTCATTCAGCACATGGGCCCTTGGGAGACAGTTAAGATGCAAACCATAATAATATAAATCTTGGAAATGCTGGTTCTAGATTTCAACATCTCTAATAGGTTCTACTTTATCATTATTTACTGGTTTATCTCATACTTGCACCATCCAAATGCAATACATTAGGAATTGAAGACTGACCACACAGAATTTTGTTGAAGAGAGTAGAGCTATCTTCTTATATCCTTAGTTATAAAGCATTTTCATTTTAGATTTATAACCACAAATAATCAATTTCTGCATCTTCTATATTTGCCCATCACTTATACATACCTGCTTTCAGCATTTGCTACTTTTAACTTTCGAAAAAGCTTTAAGATAATTCACATACAATTCACCCATTTAAAGTACACACTCACAATCTAATTTTAGAACATCTTCATCCCTCATATAAGCTGCACCATACTCATTAGTAGTTAATTCCCTATCCAAAACCTCAACATCCCTAACGCAATCACTAATCTTGTCTCTAGATTTGATTTTTCTGGATATTTTATAAACAGAATCAATGTTAGTGGTTTCTCATGACTGGCTTCCTTCACTTTGCATATTTTCAAGATGCTCCCATGTCACAGCATGTTTGGTATTCTATTCCTTGTCATGCTATTAATATTATGCAAATAAACCAGTTTATTTACACACCAAATTGATGGTCTCCTGAACTGTTTCCACTTGTGGGCTACTATGAATAATGCTATTAACATTCATGTACCAGTTTTTGTATGATTGTTTGCATTTCTCCTATTACCTTAATCAATTAGGTCTACTATCAAAGTTCATGGATTAGAGTACCAAAGATAAACAATATTTATATTTCCTATAACCCACTAGGAATTACTTATCTCAACACCAGGCTTTCACTTACATCCTATAAAAAACCTATCTTGTATATATAGAATACTTGTTAAGAGGATTTTCACATATTTAAAACTTCCTTCTCTCCAGTATACCATGTTTCCTTCAGAAAGATAACCAGACATTTCCAAAATAAAGCAAGTATATATACTACTTAAAAGAGCTTCCAGAAGTAGTACCTCTTATTTATTCTGTGCAAAATACTACTCTAAGAGGAAAAATAATACAACTACAAAAGGTGATCAAATATTTCACCCTCATCATCTTCTCTAGAAGACCAACAAACTGGTTTAAATTCACTACCCTAAATTGTCATAAATAATCACATAGTCTTTAATTTACTCTGAGCCAGTCAAGTTACAGTTTGTGTTTAATTAATGCTTCCTGTTGTACCTCTATAAAAATCACTGGACAGCAAATACCTAGATTTTGACTAGGTTAAAATAAGTGGCTGATCTCTACCATCCTGATCTCTACCTGACTCTGGAATAGGCCTAGGTGCACTTGGGATGTTTTTGTAGCTCAAGTTTTGTAAGCTTATAGGACAATAATCATTTTGCTTCTTCTAATTGTATTGTAATTGGCTGATGCCTTCTGTGCAGAGTCAAGTTACATGATTCAACAATGATCACTCATTAACAAGAAGATCTGAGGGTATTCACTACCATTGAAAAACCTGATACACAATTATAACCCAGTAAATAGCAATACAAAATTGGTCAAAACTTCAGAAGATAATGGTCTAACCTTCAATTCTGGCTTGTAAAAGGAGAACTGAGAACAACTTAAAAAAAAAAAAAAAAAAAAGTACAACTTGGAAAACACGTAAGTCTACCAAACTTTGACAATGCAGGAAAGTATCCAAGCTCAAACTCTTAATGTCAGATCAACAGATTTTTAACAAATAGCTATACAGACTCACACATTCTAAAAACATTGTACCAGCAACTCCCTAGTTTCCAAATTTTCAGCATTACTTGCTAACTCCAGGCTCCAAACTCCTCTATGTTTTCCACTTCTGGAATACCTCAGGGTTCCTCTAGTATACATACTCTCAAGGTACAGCAAGCTAATAAATCTAACTTTATGATTATAGGTGAGATCTTGGTGGTCTTTGGCCAAAGGGTTCCTTTCTAAACAAGACACAAAAGCTCTGCATTCATATGCAAAGATAATGAATCCTATATTCTAGACACAAAAGCTCTACATTCATATGCAAAGATAACGAATCCTATATTCTATACACATTTCCTAGTAACATTACCAATATTAATCAGTATTAATCGTGGCAATTTTATTAAGCAAATAACATTGTGTGAATCTGCATATATAAAAATTGACAGACAACCTGTCTTACTTGAAAAATTTTGTTAATCATAGAAATACTGCCTGAAAATAATTTTCCATATCTAAAAATGCATATATCTGCTGTTTTCAAAAGTTCCCCAATTTTGAGATAGTTAATTTAAAGTTAATTACTCTAGCAAACCACTGTGAAAACAAATGAAAGATTACACATGCAATATCATCTGGCACACTACTATTGTGAATAGGCTTTAAGGAAAAAAAAATGAATAGCCAAAACAAAATGTTTGCCTGAGTAGTATTTTATGCTTTTAAAAGGGAGAAAGTCACTAATAATAAACATTTCCATTTTTCATTGTTTTAAATTTTTTTATGAAGATTTTAATTAGATTCACAGTTATTAAGCAGTTTTTAAACTTAGGCTCCATGATCCTTTTGACTTCATGCTTTTAAATTGTCTATTGTTGTGTATCTTCAAATCATGACAAATTTCAAAATCCATTAAAAATCATTTTATTCAAATTATGTTTTCCAAAAGAGAGGGTTCTGTGCTAGTCGTCTTTGAAAGTTTTCATACCTAGAAAAGAAAAAAATATAATATTTTTATAATTAAAAAAAAACCTGAATTAGGATCTTTCATAATCTACAAAATAACTTATCAGAAACAATTTTATGTCATTTCTATAAAGCTAAGAAATAAGCTAATCTAGAAATTTATTATTCTTGCAAAGAGAGAGCAAGCAATGATTAAAGAATAAGAACAGTTATGATTAGCTTTTATCAGAGCCCAAATCATATAGATTTAATAACTATTCATCTTCTGCAAATTCAAGTGCTAGAAAGCACCTAAGGAAAAAAATAAACAAATCAAGACAACTCCTCCCTCATTTCAAGAACAGATGAGAATAATGTGCTCAAAGTCACATAGCTACATTGTGACAAAACTCAAACCTAGTATATTCCAGTGCTCTCCATGCCACACCAGGTACCACTTCTCAACAAAAAACTTCCTAAACATCCCCCCACTATTCGGATATTAAAAGTGAAAAGAAATACCTACAAAACAAAAACATGGGGAAAAGGGGGAAACAGATTTATTAGTCATTCATACTCAGAATGCAATCAACTACCCTGATGCCCTACACATGAAGACTTTCTAAACAAAGGGGAAAAAGTTTTGATTGATATTTTAAACCTCGTATAGGGTACTTTAAATTCAAAATTCAAATGCAAATGCAAAATACACAAATATATATATGTATGTTTTAGGACCTCCCTAAAACATAGGCAATTATATCTTCTTACCTTTACAAATTCATAATGGCCAATATACAAAAGAATATTGAGGGTACAGACCATCTTGATCTGAATGCTACATACAGTACGTACATTATTGGCATACAAAAACATTAATATATGTTGATGTCCACAAGAGAAAACACTTTTAAAATATTAAAGAACAAATACATTCACAGGCAAACAATATATAGTTACCAAAGCTTTAATATTAGGGATCAAAATGCCTCATACCATTTCAGAACCACATTTGCTGGAATGAACATTTCAGATGGACTCGGTGTCATCTGGGCCTGAGAGACAGCAAATGATGAAGCAAAATTGTAGAAGTTGTCCAACATCTTTTGTGTGAACTGAAAAGTTAATCATTAATAGATTAATGGGTTATATTAAATATTCTATTCAGCCCTCAAGAATTTAAATTAAAATATTTCTGCATTAACTTGCCTTTAAAAACTGCAAGTTTTAAGACAGTCAAATGCTGAAAATTATGTGTAGTCACAAAAAATGACACCGGGGCATATGTTAGTCATTTTGAAAGAAAAAAGGAAAAATTTTTCCTTCAAAATTTCTTATCTCCACAACTGCATCCTGTTCCCCAAACATTACTCTCCTAAATCAAAAATGTGCTCAAAGTCACATAGCTACATTTCTCATAAAATACTAACCATCTCTAAGAAGTTCTTTTTTTTTTTTTTTTGACAGAAAGAACTTAAATATTAATAAAGGAGCTACAGGTTACCATTATCATAAAGAAAAGAAAGGTAGCATTATTCTATTTCCCCTGGGTTTTTTTTGGTGGGGGGGTGGGCAGAGGGGCAGATACCAGAGACTGAACTCAGAGGCTCTTAACCACTGAGCCATATCCCCAGCCGTTTTTAATATTTTATTTACAGACAGGGTCTCACTGAGTTGCTTAGGGCCTAAGTTGCTGAGGCTCCTTTTGAACTCATGATCCTCCTGCCTCAGCCTCCCAAGCTTCTGGGATTAAAGCCATGTGCCACTGTGCCCAGCTTCCCCTGTTTTTTTAACTGTCTCCTAAATGGCCAAATCTACTAATATGTCCAAGACTCCTTAGTAAAAGATAGAAGTAAATTCATTCATATTTTCTGAGAATCAAATGGGCTTAAGCACTAAACCTAATAGTAAAGAACTAAAAATAGTACCACTTTCTATTCAATCCAAAATAATCTTCCCTGCATCATTTTCTCAAATACACAAAACCAGCTATGAAAGTTCCTGCTTCTATCTCTTCTCTATACAAGAAGTGTCTTACTAGAGCTTTAAAATTTGTTGAATACGAAGGTAATACTAAAGACTCTACTATTAAGGTACTAGAATTAATATTAGAGTTCAGTAAGGTTACTAGTGAAAAGGTCACTATCAGGAAAAATATAACAGCACACCACCACACCAGTGACAAAGATTTTAAAATGTAATTTTAAAAGATTCACTTTAGAATATAAACAAAGTCTGTCCGATATCTACAAAAAATAGTAAAGCTAGTAAACCTTTGTGGAAAATATGAGACTATAATATAAGGCAGAAAAGAAAACAAAAGGACTTATGTACTATGTTCAATGGAAAGATACACCATATGTCACAGATGGGAAGAGTTAATGTGTAAAGAAAGGTAACCAATTCTCCTCAAATCAAACCAGTCATTCAACAATAATTCCAACAAGGTTTTTCATGGAACTTGACAAGGTGATACTATTTGATGAACTCAAAGCTTTTTGAATTATTACATCGAATACCTAATCTTATTTTGAGGAGTAGGAGGAAGAACTTGGCCTACCAGATATTAAGACTTACTGGCAAATAATCAAACTGGAATAATAGAAGAGAAAGCCCAGAAAAAACCTAAACAAACATGACAACATGATATATAAAGGTGCTATTATTATTCACTGGGGGTGGAGGGTGGTGGTGGCTGGGGCTAATTAGTTCTCCATAGGACAAAAAAATGAACTTAATCCCTTCAATAGATAAACACAATTCAAAAAGTAAAACCTAAAGCTTTAAACTATTAAAAGATACCTTCATATACATATCAGAATAGGGAGAAAACCCCATAAATCATAAAGGAAATAACTACTAAACTTTTCTACATGAAAATATATCTGTATGCAAAAGGTACCATGAGCAATAGTAAAATACAAGTAACATGCTAGGAAAAAATTGCAATGTATGTTCACATAAAATGTATGTACACATAAAAGTCTTATTACAAAAAACAAAATTAAAAAGTACCAAAAGCAGCTGGATACAGCAATGCACATCTTAATCCCAGCAACTTATCAAATACAAATATGATATTAATATTTTCACCCACTTATCAAATTTTGGAAGTTTGATAAGTATTAGTGAAAATGTATAAACATTAATCAATATGGAAATTTTTTTAAATGGTTCAGTCATACAATAGTATACTATACAACAATTAAATTAGATCTATTCCAGGCATCAACATAAACAAACGCTAAAAATAATGTTAGGTAAGCAACAGCAAATGGTAGAGTACAATACTCTATAATTTCTATAGTAATGGTGAAAGAAGATAATACTAAATACAACTCTACAACAGGCCCAAAAATCAATCAATCCGTACAATAAAAACAAGTAAACAAAAAAGGGGGAACATTCTAAGATGGATGATTCCAAGACAAATTTGAAACTGATATGCTTAAATATATTGAGACACTTTATATTTAGTACAGTTTGAACCCTACTAAATATAAAGTGTCTCAATAATATAAAATGTTCCTAGTTAGAACTAGGAACACAGAAATCTATGCAAAAGAAAAAGAGGTATCTGTCAATGTAGAAAAATGAAAAATCAATTGTAATGCATTCTGCTGTCGTATATTTAAAAAAATAAAATCAATAAAAAAATATTGAAAAATGAAAAATCATGTAAGAAAACAAATGTAATTATCATACTACACATGGTTTAGTTCTGAAAAATATTTACCTGTCATAATACTGAAAACTTTGAACTTTAACAAAAATCTATACTGGGAAGGTGGGATGAAAATTGTGTGTGTGTGTGTGTGTGTGTGTATACGCATGCACACTCATATTTGCATACAGAGGCACAAAAGTGAGGGAAGTAAAATAAACATGTTTCATACTGGTAAGGCAATGGAAAAAAATCTGTAACAAAAAAAAATTAATCAATAACAGATTAGCAAGTTTAATCTGATAAATGGAAGTAATAAACACCAGGAGAGAGAGATAAAAAAGGAGGGTGTTGAAAGTGATTGCTTCTGAGGAACAGAATAGAAGATATAACAGAGAACAGCTATTTTTCATATAAAACTATTGACTTTCCAAACCAAATACATGTGCCACTCTAATAAAAATTTAAATGAAATGAGAGTAAAAGTAATTAAACTAGGAACATATTTAAGCACACACTTAAATGGTACTATACAGGTACTAAAATATGGATAACTACGAGGTTAGAAGACTAGATAGATACCTGGAAGGTTAAAGGAAGAAGAGAAGCAGGGAGTAGGGGCTGCACCTTTAAATGCTTTATTTCTTTTTTAAAAAAAGAATTAGTAGCAGGTGGGAAAACTGAAAATCCATATGTAGTAGGATGAAATTTAATCCCTATTCCTGCAAAAAAAGTCAACTCAAAGTGGATCAAAGACCAAGAAATTAGACCAGAAACTCTGCACATACTAGAAGGAAATGTAGGCCTAACACTCTATCATATTGGCTCAGAAACTTAGTTCCTTAACAAGACTCCTAAAGCACAAGAAGTAAAATCAATAATCAATAAATGGGATGACATCAGACTAAAAAAGCTTCTTCACAGGAAAGGAAATAATCAATAATGTGAAGAGAAAGCCTACAAATGGGAGAAAAACATTGTTATCTGCACCTCAGATAGATCATTAATTTTCAGGATATATAAACAACTCAAAAACTTAGCACCAAAAAAAAAAAAAAAAAAAAAAAATCAAATAACCCAATCAATAAATGGGCAAAGGAACTGAACAAACACTTCACAGAAGAAATAAAAATGGCCAACAAATATATGAAAAAATGTTCAACATCTCTAGCAGTGAGAGAAATGCAAATTTTAAAGGTGCACTGAGATTCCATCTCACTCCAGTCAGAATGGCAATTACCAAGAATACAATTAACAATAAATGGTGGCAAGGAAGTAGGGGAAAAGGTTCACTCATATATTGCTGGTGGAACTGCAAAGTGGTACAACGACTATGGAAATTCCTTAAAAAACTTGCAATAGAACCACCATTTGACCCAGTTATCCCACTCCTCAGTTTATACCCAAAGGATTTAAAATGCATCAATGTTTATAGCAGCTCAATACACAATACACAATAATAGCTAAGCTAGACAGCCAACCTAGATGCCCTTCAAGAAATGAATGGAAAAGAAAATTATGGTATATATACACAATAGAGTATTATTCAGCCATAATGAAAAATGACTTTATGACATTTGCAAGTAAATGGATGAACCTGGAGACTATCATGTGAAGTGAAATAAGCCTGTCCCCCAAAAAACCAGACATTGAACGTTTTTGCTGATATGTAAAAGCTAACCCACCACGAGGGGGCAGCACATGGGAAGAATAGATATTCAGTAGATTAGACAAGGGGGAATGAAGAGAAGGGGATGAATAGAAGGAAAGACAGTGGAATAATAAAAAATAATTTTCCTATGTACTTACAAGAATATACCACAGTGAATCCCACCATCATGTAAATCCATTAAACATGGGGTCCTCACTAGAATAAGATACATTCCATGCTTGTACAATTATATCAAAATGAATTCTACTGTCATGTATAACTAAAAAGAACCAATTTTTTTTTAATTTTTTTATTGTTGGTTGTTCAAAACATTACATAGTTCTTGATACATCATATTTCACACTTTGATTCAAGTGGGTTATGAACTCCCATTTTTACCCCGTATACAGATTGCAGAATCACATCAGTTACACATCCATTGATTTACATATTGCCATACTAGTGTCTGTTGTATTCTGCTGCCTTTCCTATCCTCTACTATCCCCCTCCCCTCCCCTCCCCTCTTCTCTCTCTACCCCATCTACTGTCATTCATTTCTCCCCCTTGTATTATTTTCCCCTTTCCCCTCACTTCCTCTTGTATGTAATTTTGTATAACCCTGAGGGTCTCCTTCCATTTCCATGCAATTTCCCTTCTCTCTCCCTTTCCCTCCCACCTCTCATCCCTGTTTAATGTTAATCTTCTTCTCATGCTCTTCGTCCCTACTCTGTTCTTAGTTACTCTCCTTATATCAAAGAAGACATTTGGCATTTGTTTTTAGGGATTGGCTAGCTTCACTTAGCATAATCTGCTCTAATGCCATCCATTTCCCTGTAAATTCTATGATTTTGTCATTTTTTAATGCAGAGTAATACTCCATTGTGTATAAATGCCACATTTTTTTTATCCATTCGTCTATTGAAGGGCATCTAGGTTGGTTCCACAGTCTTCCTATTGTGAATTGTGCTGCTATGAACATCTATGTAGCAGTGTCCCTGTAGCATGCTCTTTTTAGGTCTTTAGGGAATAGACCGAGAAGGGGAATAGCTGGGTCAAATGGTGGTTCCATTCCCAGCTTTCCAAGAAATCTCCATATTGCTTTCCAAATTGGCTGCACCAATTTGCAGTCCCACCAGCAATGTACAAGTGTACCCTTTTCCCCACATCCTCGCCAGCACTTGTTGTTGTTTGACTTCATAATGGCTGCCAATCTTAAGAACCAATTTTTAAAAAATGAGTAGCAGTAGCAGGTACTGGATGTATGACTGAATAACACAATGCCTGCTTAGCATGCACAAGGCTCTGGGTTCAATTTCCAGCATTTAAAAAAAAAATCAGTAGTAAGAATGACAGAATGTAAGTTAAATTTAAGGGGAAAATACAATCCACTACAAAAAGAATCTATAAAAACAGGGGTTACTTTATTTCATCTATCTCTTTGTAACTCTTTCAGAAAATGCCTGGTACACAGTGCCAGTACACAATAAATATTGGTGGAATACGTAAGTTATTCTCTGTACTTTGTGTATTTAAAATTCTTCATAATAAAATGTTTACTAGAAATAAATATGCTTTATAAAAAAGCTTAAATAATTTAAATACAGCAAAAAGTTTACTTTTCTCCAGGGAAACTTAACACTTTGGGGGTGTATTTTCCAGACATTTTTCTAAATACCATCTATGTGGGATACTATAAGTATTGTTTTAGAGCTTGCTTTCTTTGGCATGGCATTTTATTTTTTAAATAATTTACTAGAAAAAAATTATTTTCGTGAAGATTGAACCTAGGACCTCACGCATTCTAAGCAGACACTTTGACACTAAGCTATATTGCTGGCCCCTTAAAAAAAAAAAAAAAAAAAAAAGTTCTTTTGAGACAAAGATTCTGTCATTCTTAATTCAGTCCATTCTCAAAAGATTATGTGACAAATCTGCCTTTAAATTCATGATGACCACAATTGTCAAAAATGTGCCTTTGGTTCTATACAATAAACCCTAAAACTTTCCCGAGTCCATTCATCCTCTTTCTTTCCTAAAGGATTTAAAGCCCTTTTAATTTAAATTTCCAGTATCTTTTCCTTTCTCTCAATTTTAGCTAGTGATCTTCCTTCTTATATCACTGAGGAAAAGAGAAGGAATCAGGAGAGAACCTGCACAAGTTATTATCACCACATCCACCAATCTCCTGCACCTGTTCCCATAATCCATTACCCTTGCTAAGGTGAACACCTCCACCTGTGCTCCTTTTCCTACTCAAGTAAGTACTTCATGGGCTGGGAATGCACCTTAGTTGTAAAGTGCTTGCCTAGCATGCACAAGACCCTGGTTCCATCCCAAGCAACTCCACCAAAAAAAAAAAAAAGATACTCCACTCTTTGCAATTCTCCACTCTCTCCTAAATCTCAGATTTTCCCCTCTAGACATTAAGCTGAAATAAACCAGGCACACTGACAGAACTACTGTATGATCCCACTTATATGTGAAATCTAAAATAACTGAAATTGTGGAAGCAGAGAGTAGAATGATGGTTGTCAGGGGTTGAGTTGTAGAGGAAGGGAAACAGGGATACATTGTTCAAAGGGTACAAAGTTTATGTACAGCACAGAGACTATACTTAATAATGTACTCTACACTTGAAAATTATTAAGTGGTTAGATCTTAAATGTCACCACAAAAAAACTTGGTAAGTATGTGGGCTAATAGACATGTTAACTAGGCAGATTAACCTAGCTGGATTTAATCATTTTACAATGTAAACATACATCAAAACATCATCTTGTACATCATATAACCTTAATGTCAATTATAACCTTAATAAAGTGGGGAAAAGAATGAAATGTGTATTACCTGAGTGAAAGAGTCAACTGACGATACAGCAGCATTGCCTACAGGAGTCTGCTGAGCCATACTGTCCAGTGATTCCACTGAAATTCCTATCTGAGCAACAGTTGGAGTTCGGACAATATTCATGGCTCCAAACGGATGTTGGCTTCCTTCTCCTGAAAGAAATTAATGTGTGCCACATATTCCAAATTTAACTTATATTCAAATTCCTCTGGAAATAATTTAATCTCTGGTCTGTACAAAGCAAAAAGTTCTCTTATATCCAAGTTTGTCTCTTTTAATATAAATGCAAAAGGCTACTTAATTTTTTTAGCATACTAATAAAGTATAAAAGATAAAAGTTTTGCCCCAGAAAAATATTTCTTTTCTAAAACTTGCCCAAAACTATTACAGCTACACACAATAACAGAATGAGAAAAATGAGGATTAAAGATTCAATTCTGTATAATTATGTAGGAAGTATGCTTTTAAACATCTTTAGAACTAATTTTAGCATTCTGATTATTCTATTACAGAAAGATCTTTAGATTGCCATTAACCACCAATAAACAATATAGCATGTTTTACTAACTGCCATGGATCTACTCATTCAAAATCTGATGCTGCTATCAAATAGACAATAGTGAAATTTGCAGTTTACTCATGAAAAATATTTAATTAAACTTTTCCCCTTTGTTCAAAACTATATCATTAAGTATACACCTAAGACACCACCTCCAAGTGCCAGCCAATCTCTTTAAGTGATTTTATATTACTATCTTATGTCCTCTCATTTCAGCTTTAAGAACTTAAAAACATTTTTTTAATATGGCTGGTATGCAAGCAACTACTCAGTTTTTGTTTATCTGGGAATGTCTCCATTTCTCCTTACCTTTTTTTTTTTTGGTACTGAGGACTGAATGCAGGGGTGCTCAACCACTGAGCCATATCCCCCAGCCCTTTTTTTATATTTTATTTAGAGACAGGGTCTTTCTGAGTTGCTAAATGCCTCACTAAGTTGCTAAGGCTGGCTTTGAACTCAAAATCCTCCTGCCTCAGCCTCCAAAGCCACTGGGATTACAGGTGTGTGCCACCATGCCCAGCTCTCCTTACATTTCTGATAGTTTTGCTGGACACAGAATTCATGGTTGACAACTCTTTTCCTTTCAAAATTTTGTCATTCTATTACTGTCTAGACTTTATTTATCATCTCAAAACAGCTAAAAGGATCCTTGTATGTGATGAGTTACTTCTTTCAAGGCTTTCAAGATTCTCTCTTTACTATAATGGTTTAATTGTGTCTTTGTGTGATTTTCATCAAGACTCAATACTCATCCAGGCAGTCTACAACTCTGCCCTAGTCTCCACTTCCAGCTGTGCAGAGCCTAAAAGCCAGGCTGAGGTGCAAGCTTTGAATCTTCCTGGTTTTGTATGGAGTATGTATATAGGTCAGGGCATGTATGTGCCCTTTCAGATTCCCAAGCGTGTATCAAAAAATTTCAAAGCCCTTATTCTCCAATGCTTCTCATTCTGGCTTTCATCCCAAGCTTACTCCAACTCCTGTCACATGCCTCGAGCAGCAGTGATTGATTTATGTCTGTAAATGTTTTTTGGCAAACATCCCAGGGTGGTCACCTTAGCACTGGAAAAATTCCTGCTAGGTAAGTTAAAGGCAAGGCAGAGAACCACCAGATACAAAAAAAAAAAAAAAAAAATTTTGATTACAATTCTTTGTAAATGAGGTCCATTTGCTCCCTGTACCCATACCAAAAATGGAGGCTTATTTTTAAGGTTACCCATAAGTTGAGGACCAGGGTATGGAACCAGGGTAATTAAACCTCAGCAACTTGGGAGACTGCAGTAGGAAGATCACAAGGTCAAGGCCAGCTTCAGCAATTTAGCCAGGCCCTAAGCAACTCAGCAAGACCCTGTCTCAAAAATAAAAATAAAAAGGACTACAATATTGCTCAGTAGTTAAGTGTCCCTGGATTAAATCCCCAGAACCCCCGCACCCCCGCCAAAAAAAAGAGGATAACAACAACAAAAACAGCAGAGCAAGTAAAACATTCAGCATATTGTTAGAAAACAAAACACACATTATATCAAGTTCTCAACAACATTCTAAGAGTAAATGCAGCAGCTTTTTTCTTTTTTTGTGTTGGCGATTGAACCCAGGGGCACATAATGATTGTGCCATGTCCCAGGCCCTTTTTATTTTGAAACAGGGTCTCACTAAGTTGCTTGGGGACTCATAAAGTTACAAGGACTGGCTATGAACTTGTGATCCTTTTGCTTCAGTGTATCAAGCTGCAGGGATTACAGGCAAGTGCTCTCACACCCAGCTGCAGCAGCTAATTTTTAAAGACTGTTTCTCAGGGTATCCCTCCTTCTTGTAAGAGCCTAATGCAAAACATAATGCAAGAGAAGAAAGCTAGTTTTTTAATCTCAGTATACAAAGAAAAGTAGTCATCATCATTTGCTATTTGGGTCTAATGGAACCTTTTAATAAAGAATGGTTAGAAAGGGAGTAGGTGTATAATTCAGTGGTAAAGCAAGGACTCTTGGGTTCAATCCCCAACCGCCCCTCCCCCACAAAAAAATAATGTTCAGAATACATGTTGGAAAAAAACTTTATTTGAATTTTATTAAGTATTTAAATACAGCAAAACTAGATATCCATTTCATTTTTTTTCCTTATTTTTAATTTATATAGGTGAAATGGGCATGTCTTCTAAATACTAGTACTCATTGGCCATCAGAAATGAACATGAAATATCCATCTTATAAGTTAGACCTCTAATAAGTTCTAACTTATGGTTACATCTTGTTCATTGTATGGCCTATACATTGTCAAAATGAAATACTTAAAAGTCTGAAATTTTAAAAACTGTAATGGCTCATAATTTGTTCAAGTAAGGATGACCAATCTCTGATCATAATTTACAAAATACTCTTATTTTTAGTTTATAAACATTATTTCCTTTCAATCACCTTTGTATATACACCCACTTTTAGCATTTTTCTACTTACAAACCCTATCCAGTCAAATTTAAAGCACAAATATACAAGATGAAAGAATATCAACATACATCTTTTAATACATGTTCAAGATATTGTTAGAAAATACTGCATGATAATTTCTTCTTCTTAAATGCCTAAGTACCCATCTTTTCTTTTGGTCCTTTGTTCAATAATCAATTATTTGAGTAAATTCAGATGAGATCATTCTCTGAAGATTCATAATCTGAAATTTTGTATATATGAATAACTTTACCATCATTAGTCTAGACTACATTTAGCTCTTTGGATTTGTTTTCTAATTTGTCTAATAAATGTAAAATGTATTCTGTCAGTTTTTTCTCTTTGCCATTGTGAATGAAATACAAACAGTATTAACTTCATATTCTATTTAATAAAAGTTAAAACCTGACCATAATGATGGCCTTGTCTCCTTTTACATTTCTTTAATGTTAACATAATCTTTTGACCAATGCAATATGAAATTATAGTTAATAAAATGAATAATAAAGATGCACAGACCAAATCTGGCCCACAACCAATTTTTGTGTATGACCTCGGAGCTAAGAGTGGTTCTTAAATTTTTAAAGAGTTGTTTAAAGTGGAATCATAAGCCACTGAGATAATTCAGGGGCTGTAAAACCTAAAATGCTTACTATCTGATTCTTTACAAAAAAGTCTGACAACCTCTGCTCTAAGGCAGTTCCATCATTCTTCCATTTTTATTATTTTAGCCCTTTTCCTTTTAGTATAGTTGAGAATTGGTGAGTAATGATGAAATAATTTCCTGGTTGAAACAAAGTACTTCAAGATAAAGAAGAAATAAGATCACTAATATTTCCAAATGCATCTTAGGTTTATAAAATGATCCAGTGGACCTACAGAGTAACTGCAAGATAAAATGAGGTTTTTTCCTATTAAAAAAATATAAATAAATGTTCTCTGTATTCTTTGGAAGAACTCTACAAAAGAATAAAACTCAAGAAATAACAATCCTTCTGATGGTTAAAGTGCTCAAAAGAGGAACTAAAAGTTCACTGGCAGAGATAAAGTAACAGCAAAGAAATGAAGGCTAAAGACAAGTTATGGCAAAGGAAGGTAATTTAATAAACAGTAGCATTTCAATATGATTGACATATAAGTAATATAAAAACATCTTAATTATGTCTGCTTAACAGTGTACTGAATGTAAAAATCTAGAAATCATATATTTCTAAAATCTTTTGGCTTCATTTTTATTGACAGCTTGACAAGACTGAAATTCATTTTTCACTAATGCATATTCTAAGCACTGTGTGGTTACCAATAAATATCTTAGATTAAAAAAAATGGTTAAAGGGGCTGGGGATGTGGCTCAAATGGTAGTGCGCTCGCCTAGCATGCGTGAGGCACTGGGTTCGATTCTCAGCACCACATAAAAATAAAATACAGATATTGTGTCCACTTAAAACTAAAAAATAAATTTTAAAAAAAATGGTTAAAAAAATGGATATAAAAAATTTGTCCATTTTGGATGTCTGAAGTGTTATTAAAGGAGCATCCACCACTGTATCATACAGAGCACAAAGTCAAAGCCATAAACAATCCCTATTTTCAAGGAGCTTATACTCTAACAAGAAGGAGTAAAAGTCACTTAATTGTTCTGAACTGGTTTTGTTATCTGGATGATTTCTAAGAGCACTGACATTATATGATTTTATATAAACATAAAAAGAACCACTTATTATTATCAGGGCTAGGGTTGTAGCTCAGTGGTAGAGTATTTGCCTAGCACATAAAGGCACTGGGTTCAATGCTTAGCACCACATAAAATAAATTAAAAAACAAAGGTATTGTGTTCATCTACAACTAAAAATATTTAAAAAAAAAAAACACCTATTAAACATCAACTGTGTGCCAAGCACTATTTTTCATTCTGCATACATAAATACTTTTATTAACTACATTTTACTGAATTTTCCTTTAAGGTTAAAGATCTTGGTCAAGTACACACCCCTAACTGGGTGTGGTGGCACACACTTAATAGTACCAGCTACTCTGGGAGGCTAAGGCAGAAGGATCAATTGAGCTAGGAATTTGAGACCAACCTGGAAACAAAGGAAAACACCGTCTCAAAAAAAGAAAAAGAAAAAAAGAGTATACCACCAATAATGAGTAT